TCAAATGATGAAGTTTCCTTGTTGCTTTTAGCTTCATCACTTTCACTTTTGGTTCAAGGAAACCGAGAAGATGTCATTAATATTATCTCAAATACCCTATCAATAGTTAAATAAAACGTTCCTTAATAAAAAATTTTAATTTCCATTGAAATACAAAAAATTATGGTTAAAAAAAGTCATTGGTAGATATTTTCCACATTTGGTAAATTTTTTTCAAGTGAATGGCAAATATTTTTTTTTAGTCAATGCCAACCCTGGGCATGCCTTTCTCGCAAGCAATAATCTGTAAATATGGATTTCATAAATGATAAAATGAGCTGTTGCTTATCAATGAAGTGTCAGCGAAATGTGCAACTGCAAAAAGGGGGAAAAATGTGTGCATAGCAAAAAGTAAAAAAAACTGTGGAAGAACCGGTGCGCTGCGGTGGACGTGCTCCAACACCGGCAGCCCATAAGCGTACACTCTCATGAGAGTTTGGACGAGCGCCGGTGGAGCTAATTGGTGGCGGCGCATGGTGAGCGCATGCAAACCACAACGCACTACTAAATGCTTGCGTACATGCGAACCAAAGGCAGTACGAGTAGTGCGAGCAGGCAGACAGTAGGCGAGTGAAAAGCACACGGATGGAAGGCGGCTAGTAGCGGTAAACGACAAACAGCAGGCAGCAAGCAGACAACGGCTAATTGAATTAATCCCATGAATGAGATTTGTTGAGCGTCAACAATAAGCGGGAGATGATTGAAACCACATAGAAAATAGATATCTGCAAGTGGAGCAGCAGTAGTGGCGGTGGCGGCGGCAACAAAAAATAAAATAAAAAATTGCAGGTGGTAGCCGAAAGCCGAAAAACTGTATTGAGTGTGGCAAAGGCAGCTACATAGTTGAGTGACGTAGATCTAAATAAAGACTAGGCTGTGTGCAAGTGTATATATGTTGTTGTTTTTGTGCAAGTGCTAACGCGGAATGTTTGACAGCGACCGGCGGCAGTTTGTGTAATTTAATTTTTTCTTTCATTTCGTGCAATTTGTTTGCAGTTGAGCATTCCAAGCGAGCGGATAAAGCGCACACTACACAGATTTTTGTATGTACAAAGCTGCGCCGCGCACTTTTTGGTTGCGTAGAAGCTGATAATAAGACTTGGTACACCGTGCCAAGCGTGTGGTGATTTATGCGCACATATATAATAATAATAGGCGCGCGACGCGACGACCAATATTAATTTTTTTTTTTTGGCCGCAGCCAACGACGAAGTTAACGACGCGACTGTGGTGGTGTTGCGCCAACAGAGCGCCACGAAAAACGAACAATAACTCCACCAGCACTAGCACCAGCTCCAGTAACAAAAGTAACATCAGCGTCAGCAGACGCATAACTCCAACCGTCAGCTAGTACGCACTTGTATTCAAAGCACTCAACTCCATCACGCAAACGAGCCAGCAGACACAATTTACAATCGACGACGCGTAGTTATCCAGCTAGTGTAACAGTAAAATGTGTCGTTGCTGTCAGAGGTGAGTACATACTTGCATATTTAATTGTTGTGAAGTAAATAACCTAGTTGACGTTTTTTTACGCTTTCTTTCGATTTTCATGCCTAGCTTAAGCTAATAAACCATACATATTTACATACATACATATATAATTTTTGATATAATTTATTTTTTTTTTCCACGAAAAATCAAACAGCTGCTGGGAGGACTTCAAGTGGAACTGCTTTGAGGAGAGATTCTGCTACGATGAGTCAATTGGTGAGTTACAAAAAAAAAAAAAGAATACAGATACGTATGTATACCAACAACAAAAGAGTAAACAAAATTCAAAAGCAAAACAAACAATAGACCCGGTAAAGATAATTAACAATAAGTGTGAAACGTCGCTTTATAAATATTTTTTTATTAACAATGCGTTTATTCTCGATAGTTACTACCTTTTATTGCGACATAATACAAGTCATTACGAAATTCGTGATCAGTTTTGTAGCCACGGCGTGGTGATGACATATTTGTGACAATAAATAGACAGTTGAGAAGTGCGAGCATTATGCGTAGCAAGGAAGTATTTAAGTTGAGAACGTGATGGGTTGCAATGCAGAATCTTATCGCTCCTTTGCCCGGTCGCGAAGACACCTGAGGCCCAACTACTCCCGCATTTTAGATACCACCTGACCCCAGCGAAGCATTAGCATAGATTCCGTAAAGTGCACAGCACTTAACACCATAAGCATTCAGATAACTCGTGGCCTTAACCGTAACCGCCCCTGTGAGGGAACGTTCCTATTAGCGTTGAACCTGTCAGAGGTGTTTGATACAGTCTTTATTCTGCCACGCTGGTAGAAGACATCGAGACTTCTTCTCTACCGCAGGGACTCAAACGCTGGTCGGCGGTTTATATGGGTGGTCGGCAGTTGTCAGTAATCTTCCGAGCTCGAACCTCAAAACGTAAAAGAATAAAGCAACGCGTTCACACCAATTCCGACGGTGAACAACCCGAAAATTTTAGGGCTGCTTTCCTTCGCCGCGCACACAACCGCAATTGTCAATAAAGTACAGAGCCGCAACAAGGTCCTCAAGTCGCTCGTCGGCAGCACCGGGGCAAAGACCTGACAGCATATACGGCAACTGGCCAGCCCATTCTGAACTATGCTGCGCCTATTTGGCTGCACTCCGGACAGCGACCGGATGCCTTCTGATGTCGCCGGGGCACACTTACACGGTGAGTCCCCGCTTGCTTCCCGTAAGGGAGAGCATAACCAAATGCTCAGTAGGCAGTTTTAGGTGGGATGCCACAGGCATGAGCACCCCCAACAGACCTAGAAGAAATATCTATTGTTGATATAGATTTTAAATAAATGTGCCTTTTTTTCTGATAAGTAAATACTACGGTTCATCTATCGTTTGCTGCTTTGATGAAAACACCTCTGAACTGGTTCTTTAGAGGTATGTATACACACTTCCTGCGCAGAGTTCACCTCCGTACCGATGAATTTTAGAGATTGGCTAGTGGTCTGGTTTTCAAAGTAGATCGTCATGAGTTGCTTCGTTAAAGCGTTACAGTCATCAGTTAGACAAAATAGCTCATTGTTGCGATTTCCACTATATATTTTCTAGCTTAGCTTGGTAGCGTGGTGCTGCTTGAGACAAAATTTGGTTTAACAGCAAAGGAGCAACATCATCTTAAGAATTTTCATAATTCGTTGAAAACCAAAAGTTGACTGAAGATGACGCAAAACTGGAGCTATATGTAAGAAATACTTTCCAAAATGCATAATACTCTTATCCTGTCGGAAAAACCAACAAATACAACCAAATTCTAGGGAACTCTTTGAACAATCATTTGATCAAATTGATTAGCACACTTGCTTCCATTTGCATGAAATAACCCCAAAATTTCCAGCTAAAAAAGCAAGTCGGTAAACAAACGAACCCATGATTCGGCGAAGACCGATTCGTTGCCACTAGATGAAATTAACAGGGCAATTCTGGCTAAGATAGTAGAAAATCTTTCGTAAGGCAAATGGTAGACAGATGGCAAGATAGTTCGAAAGGCATTCGTTATTCTAGCACAAAAGTCTTAGAAAAGAAGCTTTCTCATTCACCACGCGTAGATGAAAGCTCTTTTGCTAGAAAGCACTTGTATAACATAGCCGAGTGTGCAAAGCACTGGTGTGCCAATCGAGAGATCCGTGTCCGAGTCCTAGCGCAGCGTATTTTTTTTTATTTTTTTAATCTATATTTGTTTCTTCGGTTGTTATTGTTTTTAAAATAATATTTTTTTAATTTCATTTAATTTTTAGGAACTAATTTCTTATTTTTTTTTACATTATTATTTTTTTTTAATTGTTAGGCAAATTTTGTTCTGATTTTTGTATTTTATTGTGTAAAAAGAAAATTATTTATTTTTTTCATTTCATTTACTTTAAAAAAAATTTAATTTTTAATTTTTTTTAACTTGATTTGTTATGCTTTTGTTAATTAAATTTTCTTTTAATTTTTAGATTTGATTTTAAAAAGGAGAATATATATTTTTTTTAAATTAATCTTTAGGATCTTATTAATTTTTTTTTAATAGTTTATTTTTCTTTTTTTTTAATATTTTTAACCTTATTTAATTTTAAAGTACTATTTCCTTTTTTTGGATAAAACTTTTTGCTTTTTCTAATTTAATTTAATTTTATTTATTGTTTTAAAAAAGAAATATATATTTTAGATTTTAGGAATTTATTTTCTTTGTTCTTAAATTTTTTCACTTTTAATTTATTTTTCTTTTAAGTTTCTGATATTGTTTTAAAAAGTATGTTTGGGTTTTTATTAAATTTTCTTTTATTTTTTAGATGTCTTAAAAAGAAAAATATTTTTTACTTTCTTTTAATTTGGAGTTTTTTTGTTATCTATTTCTGCTTTTTTAGTTTTATTTTTTACTTCCTTTTTATTTATTTTTAAAATTTGCCTTTATATTTTTTGAAATTACATACCAAATACTCGATATGCTCTTTGAGTTGCCCAGGAATTGCATGTACGTGTTTGAAGAGCGCAAGATTTTGTTCAATCTAAGCTGTTGACGGAACATTCGACTGTTTAAGTAAATCAAGCTCCAATTAGCGGTGTTTTACTGTATGCACTTGTTAATACAAATTCAATCGCAGAATAATTACGAAGGTGCAAAAAAAGGCATACAATTGTAGCTAAAAATATTTATTGCAATTCAGCAATAACAACAACAACAACACCAAATGCAATAAATATTCTTACTAAGAACAAGCGTTTATTTCATGAAGTTAGTTCAATGAGTCACCTGTAGCGCGAATTTGCCGCATAATGATTACTATTGTGTTTTTCTTACAGCATTAATTGTTTGCGATTACAGATGAAGTACTCACGTAAATCCAAACTGTCGTGAGAATGTTCGGCTAACAAGATTTGTAATGACTCGTACGTGTTGTGGCATAAAGATAGTTGTGTGTGAGTGTTTTTTCTTTTGCCAAATCGATTGACGTGAACGGGAACAACGCATAATAAAATTACTTTTTTGGTTTGCTTAAAGAAAATTGTAAATAAATACAGTGTGGCAAAGAAGTAGGATTTGATTTTGATTGATTTTCGAGTACTTAAGAAAATTAAAATCTCTCATATCAAATTGTTGATTACAAAATTATTGCTGCAGCGAAATTCTGCTTCGGGGGCTTTTGTTTTGCTTTTAGAATGCAAATTTATCAATTATGTAGTGATAAATATTGTTTTACATCATAATTACAAAGCTTTTGAAATATTATATTAATTATTATTTTTTCCTTTTCCTCGAATTATCTTTGCATCTCTCTCTGTCATCAGCCAATTATAATCCCGAAGAGGATATGGACTATATGACGACTATGCAGAAAAATGGCAGCGCACTGAGTCACATACAGATTTCGGATAATAACAATTTAACAGTGCCCATTATTAATCAACCAGTACGACGAAGCAATTCCGGTCTTATGAGGTACGCGCGCTACACCTGTTTTTTTTTTGAGGTGGAGCTTTTACGATTCAAATTTTTTTTTGATTGATTCATAAACTCCTGATTTATAATTATAATTCACACCTAAAGACTTACCTTCACCCATTTTTTTCTGTTGCCAACGGGTAAAAGTAGGAAGGCGGCTTATTTTTAGAACTTTTGTGATCTTTTCAACTACCATCAGAAGCTACTTAAAAGCTTTTGTGCAGAGGTAGAGAACGGCGTTACACTTCCGTAAGCAATTAAAATTCAAAATGCTTTCCAAGCATTATGCTGAATTTCCAAATCCGTAGGCATCCGTTTTGGAAGAAATGCTTATCTAAAGCTCCAGAATCTTTATTTTGGAACGACCTTCCGTAATTTTTTTGCCATAGTGGGTTCATAAGATACTTCGAAGCTTGTCTATTAGATTACACAAGTGTGAAAGTTTCAGAAATATCTTGAAAGCTCATTGAAAGCTCTTGAAATGTCATTGAAAGCTCTTCAAAGTCATTTATATTTTAGATAAGCTCCCAAAAAAATTAATTTAACGAAAAATTTCATTGCCACAAAAAAAATTTACGAAAAGCTATCTATGTTATTGAATGTGAAAGCTCCAAGAAAAAGCGCATACTGGCTTTCAAAGCACCACTTACGCGATTTTTAGCAACACTTTACTACTTCATGGATATGAGCTGAGCTTTTAAGCTTTGCATTAATGATCATAAAGTAAAAGCTTGCACTTTCAAAAGAACAACTCTCATTTAATATTTAGATTAGCCCTCAAAAAATAAATATTATCGGAAAATTCCATTGCTACAAAGAGCTTTGTACTTGAATGTGAAAGCCCGGGGGTAAAGCTTTCACTGGCTTTCAAAAAAACCACTTACACGATTTTAAGCAACACTAGCACTTCATGGATACCAACTGAGCTTTGAACCTTTATTTTAATGCTCATAAGGTTAAAGCTCCTACTTTCAAAAGCACAACTCATTGGATTCTAATACAGAATTGTCCACTTAATAGGCACGTGCTGAGATTTTTAGTATTATATATCATATACTAATGCCCAGGAGAAAGCTTTAAGCTTTATTTTATTATTTTTAGACGGAAAATGAGTGAACATTGACACTGTTCTAGTTATTTAAGAAAAATAACGAGTAAAAAATAGCCACAGGCCAAAGTGTTTTTGGAGCCTCCAAGAGCTTTTTTATAGACGCGCAGTGAAAATGAGCTATATCTGGCTACCACTGATCAATTTAAGGCAGTAAAAGTAATAATTAACAATAAATCTCGAGATAACACCTTGCGTTTATAAATCCGATAGCTTTACAACGCTCGAAGACTCTCGAAGCTTTCGCTTCATTAACTTGTATTTGCTCGTTGGGCTTACCCGTGCCCATCGTATTTACATACATAAATAAATTTTCGTGCCCTTTACTGACATTTCTCACACACCCTTCTTCCACTTGCAGTACGGCGAAGATACACGAGGAGGACTATCGGCGCGAAACGCAAACAAATGTACCGATGTTGGGACCCGAAATATTGGCCGTTTTCGCCAATTCACAAATCTTCCAGGATCACCAACCGACCAAATTGAGTCGCATTAGCACGAAGACTTTCTTGGCGGGCATACATTCACCCAATAAAGAGGTGCCGACAACGCCGCGCGAAACCGAACAGGATCGGCTAATACGGCGTTTGGAAGGTAATAACAACAACAACAACTACAACATCAATAAACTCAACAAATATTATGATCATGCTGATCATCATAATGAACATGTCGTTGATGACGATGATGAAGTCGATGATGACGATGATGATGGTCAGCACGCCCTGCCACATCATCCGCTACGACCATCGCGAAAAAGTAGTAGTGGTAGTGGTGGTGCACATGTGGGACATGTTAATGGTAGTACTGCTGGCCATCACAAGGTTAAATTTTATCTAGACTGATTAGAAAAAGAAAGCAAAAAAATTCAAAAAAAAATAAATTGGTTTAACCGCAGCTTATCATTCGCTCACCAATACCAATGAAATGCGATTAGCAAAAATAAGAATTTTTTTGAGTTGCCATTAATCTGGAAAAAGGAAGTTTTTTCAGTAGTTTTGTGCTTAATTTACCTGCATCATATTTTTTGTACTTAACAAATTGCCTGCCGCAACATATACACTTACGTATATATATATATATATATATATATGTACTTAGCTAACAGTTAAGAGAGTATGTATGTATGTATAGCTATATAAAGTTACTTCTCTACACATCTACTTATACATATCCGTAGTATTACCCTTTATATTGTAAGTATGTATTTACTAGTTTCCATGTATGGCATTTTTTTGTTTTTTACAATTAACGAGTATTATTATTATTTTAATTTTTATTTAAATTTGAGAACACAGACATCAATATGCATGCAATTGTGTTTTTAGCACACTATACATACATAACTGATTGATTATATGTAAGTTATAGGCTGTAGTTACATAAATATTTGGCTGCTCTTAATTGGCCAATAGGCACGTATACAGTGCGCTCGAAATGTGTGAAATGTGTGTTGCCAAATGCGTCAGCTCGCCGGCGATTGCATATTTGCGTATTCAGTTAACGTACATATCTATGTATGTATGTATGTGCGACATTAAGTCAATATGGATACTTAAATAGTAGTATTAAGTAATACTAAGCACTAAGCAGTAATTAAGTTTGTTTGGAAATATAATAAAATGATTCAACGTTTTTCTGTGATTACGAAATTGAAAAAAAAAACGCGAAATGTTACATCACGGCTTGTAAGGAAGTGGGCATAGGGTTTGGCAATTTTTTCTGTTGTTATTTATATAGCTTACTAGGTACATTCATAAATATATTCCGTTGTTACTAAGAATTGAAATTATTTCGTTGGAAATTTAATCGTGGTGACGTTTGCTTATCACTAAAAGCACTGAGAAAGGTGGGCCATAAGTATGCGTTGTTGTTGCTTGTTTGGCGTTTTTGACCGAGTTGTTTCTGCTCTGTGGCAACTATTGATAAGTGAAGCCAAAGGTCTTTCCAACGCCGAGTAGGCCTTCCTCTTCCTTTGCTACTACCTGCAGTTGGCGCGTTGCAGACTTTCAACGCTGGAGCATTTGTATTTATGCCCTTATCTCGTAAAAAGCACCGCCTCTTCGGATGTTGTCGTTGTCTATGCTTCTGCGTCATGTTTCAGCATAAGAGAAGACCTTATTTCCCCAATTGCCTAATTGCCCAACTGCTCAATCCGAAGTAGCACTTGTTGGCGAGATTCATTCTACTTCGGTTCCCCAATTGATTCCAAAATAATCAAAGTCCTTTACTTTTGCGAAGGCTCTGGCTGTTTGCTTAATAACAGCCAGAAGCTTTGTTTTGTGTACGTTCATCTCCAGATTAATTCATATTGCTTTCATATCCAACTCGATAAAAGCAGAATAAAGAAGCGCTTGTTGAGGCCAATGCGGCCGATATCAGCGGCAGACGCGAGCACAGAAAGTGATTGAGTTCTCCGGTTCTTATTAACTATTCCAGCATCAGATTACAAAAACTTGTAAGATAGGTATTCGTCCTGTCTGAAAGATCATTTGATATCAAACGCCTTGAATAAGTGCTTCCCAATTCCAACACAGCTGCCATAAAGGCAACTTCTTTTCGTGCTATCGAAGGCTGCCTTGAAATCGACAAAGATATGGTATGTGTTGAACCTCTTATCGCTGATGTTTTCCAAGATTTCGTGTATTTTTAATATCTGGCCTACGATTGATTTACCAGGTCTAAAGCCACACTTATAAGGCCCAATCAGCTCGTCGTTGGCGAGCTTGAGTCCTTTACACAATACGCTCGATAAGACGTAACTCAACTCCAGCAGAATTTTATGCCTCAAATTTGCAGTGCTGTTTGCATTTAGCAGCAACGTTAAGTATTGCCTCCATAATTTAAGCACGCTCTGCACATCGGTAACTATGTCGCAGTGTTGATTCTGAAGTTCGCCTTGGCTTTGAAACCTTCCGTAAGTCGTCCAACTTTCTAGCAAAATAAAATAGTCGAGCGTTCTTCCCATGGCGAAGCATTTGAAGCTGTTCAAAATCATATACGTGTCTCCCTTCGCTTTTCAGCTGCCTTGATCGTTCCCACTGACGTAACTGGCGTTGCACCCGATCTCAGGCTGACTCTGTAGGCGGCATTTGGATTCTCTGCAGCAGCGTGACGTTCCCCGTCGTACGATTTGTTGTTTCGAGCTTGCTTAAATCCATCTTTTTCCGTTCGCCCACGCTTGTGGTTATGGTGATGTAAGGGTAGGTCTACTAGGTGATCTATTCCTATTGCGACTTTAGTTGTTTAGTATGTACAAGAAATGTATTAAACCCTGCTGCGAAATCTGCATTGGGTCGACATCTCTGAGCATGTCGTCGTTTAACAATCTGGCTCTACAATGAGCTAGTGCTGGGCAGGGGGTAAGGAGTTCTTCCATTGATTCCTTTTCTCCATTACAGAATCTGCAAATGTCGGTACTACAAAGGCCAAGCGTAAACAGGTGTTTGTTGCAAGAATAGTGGCCCATGAGCCCTTTTGTCACTGAAGCAAATGAACTTCTTTGAGTGTTGGTGCCCAACCAACTTGTCTCAATGGAAAGCAGTGCAGGATATTGCCCACTTGTTGAAGTGCTTCTTGATATTGTTGTTGTTGAACACAAGAATTGGGCTAGGTCCAAAAAAAGGCGTGTATGCCCCTTTTTTAGCTGGGAAGTCCGCTTGTCCATTGCCATCGTAACCATCATGACCAGTCACCCAGATTAAGGAGACCCTATTCCGGGTGGCTAGATCATTTAGTGGTCTGTGACACTCTATCAGGCTTTTTGATGAGAACAAGCAGCTATCTAGAGCTTTGAGAATGGATTAGCTGTCCGAAAGTATGGAGATTTTTGTTCTGGCATACTGCCTGCTTGATAAGACGTGGGCGGTCTCAAGTATGGCAGCAGGTTTTGCCTGGAATATCGTAGGGTGTTTACTTAAGGGAAACTATGTCATTGGAGACTTCGGTTGGTAGCGTAAAGGTGGAAACGTAGTCTGGTGGGTAAATACTAGAATTGGGCATGGCGAAAAATGTTCTCGGCGGCCGCCGAAAATCCTCAATAAAGAGGGTACCTCGGTGGAATTCCAAACTAGAGAAACTGCGTAAGCTGAGCAGGCTTGAGTTCAACAAGGCCAAGAGGACAAACACCTGGGATGACTATAAACAATTTCTTACAATACATATAACTATAACAGAGAACTGGGGAAATCCAGGAGAAATTTTTGGAAGAACTTTGTGAGGACCTAAGGTATATTTCAGCTACCGCTAGGATCCAAAGGTCTTTCTCTAAGGCGAAATCCACCCTCATAGGCATCCTAGATGGATCGAATGGATTCTCTACAAAAAACGTTCGGGAAAACCGTAGAACTCAGTTCTCTGAATACGCATAAGTAGTATGGTAACAATATACCATCGAAGAGCCTTCGATTCAGTTATTAATAAAGTAGTCAACTTGGAAAGAGTAGACCGGTACATAAAGTCGTTTAAACCCTACAAATCTCTGGGAAGAGGCGGCATATTCCCCGCACTTCTTTCTAAAGGTTCAAACAAGATTACTAAAAAATAAGTTAGGTTAGGTTAGATTAAACGGGCAGCTCTGAATAAGAGTTCACTCGGAGGCTGTAGAGGCCCATTGTGATGCCCATGGGGGTTACCCCAAGCCTATCCCTACATGTCTTCGAACCATTTTGATTTTCTGGCGAATCCTAGCAGTCCTTCCAGAGGAGCTTTCCCCAAGATATCCAGATTCTCGAAGAAGTGGTCCCCAAGAAACTTGAGGTGTTTTCCTCGAAGTGCTGGACACTCGCAAAGGAAGTGATGGACGGATTCTAGCTCCTCCTCATCCCTGCAGCTTCTACAGAAATCATTATGCGGGGCTCCGAACCTGGCGGCCATGTGGCCAATGGTCCAATGTCGCGTTAGTATTCCTGTGAGAAGCCTGACGTTTGACTTTGAAATAGAATAGCTTAATAAACTCCTTGTTCTTCGTTCATCGAGCCGTGGCTAGAGTGATCGCGATACCCTGCAGGTATGAAGGTTTACCCACCTACTGTTGGTAGCTGCCCTGGTCAGTCTCTCGACTTCTGAAGACAGAAATCGCAGGCGGGGTTTCACGATTTGGGTCGCTTCCCCGAGCCCCATCTCAGATCCCCTCCTAGCACATTCGTCCGCTTCCTCATTTCCCGGCACACCACAATGTCCCGGTACCCAGTAAATATTGATTATGTGTTGCTGTAGAGCTTGTAGGGATCTTCGGCATTCTTTAACGCATAACGAGTTAGTCGTTGCCGACCCTAAGGCTTTGATAGCCTCCTGACTGTCAACAACGAAGACAAGTTAAGATGGAGCTAAGTCAATCATGCCCACCAACCTTGCCGTCATATGGATTGCATATATCTCAGCCTGAAAAACACTGCAGTGGTCTGGGAGTCTATACGACTCCTTCAGAGATAGCTCCTGAGACAAGACCCAAGACCCTGTTCCGATATCCATTTTGGAGCCGTCCGTGAAGATGGGTATTTCGTCATCGCTGAGAGCAATATTAAATTCCCAGTCACTTCTGTCAGTAAAATGGATATCGAAGTTTCGATTGAAGTTAATTTCCGTGACCTGAT